AGTAGTTTTTGAGAAAAAACATGTCCTCGTATGAGGACAGTGGGTCTCTCATAACCTAAAGAAAAAATGTATGCTCTTTGAGGCCGGAAGGTCCTAATTAGTTGAAATTCAAAATTTCAGCTTGATCCAATTAGTACTTCTCTCAAAAATCAATGTCCTCATATGAGTACAGTGGGTCGACCTTACTATACAATACAAATAGACTCCATTGGTCTAAAATAGTATATAACAGTTTATTTGAAAAATGTAAACATCAAAGTTAGACATAAAATCCAAACAGCTCTATCTTCAAAGCCTAAAAATGTCATGGTGTGGACATTTTGACCTGGTTGAGTTTGAATCCTGCCTGTCCTGTTGTTGTTGCCCCGCCCTAATGTGATTCACCTGTGTGTCCCTGTGTGTGTATATATACCCTGTGCCCTTCCTCTCTTGTTGTCCGTCCATTGTCTCCACCACGTTTGTCCTGGCTTCAGTTCTGTTTTTACATTACCTTGGATTTATTTTATTAAATTACTTTGATTTTCAGTCCTGCAATTTGGGTTCCCTTGTTCTTCATTCATCCACATGACAAAAAATTGGCTATACATAAATAAAACTGCAAAATACTGTGTAAACTGTCTATTTCAAGCCTTCAATATGGCTGAATTGAATTGATAAATACAATACTAGAACAAATAATGGCAAATATTATTAACAGTCCTAAAAGAGTAAAATTCTGCTGAACAGCTTTTGAACCGGGGCTTTTTTCAAACTAGCTCCCTCTCTTTTTCTAGAAAGCAATCTGCCTGTTTGGAAGAGCCCTATTGGCAAGTGTGAAATGCTGCAAAGCAGTTGCGTTCACTTTGCAAGCACAGGTACACATTGCATGTCATGCATCGGACACAGGATTTTCCAATGCAGTCTTGTGCTCTGCAACGCATGGGGTTTTTCAAGGCTACCATCTCCGGGTTAGGGTTAGGGTTACAATATCCCCAGTCGAGGTCAGCAGCTCTCCATCTGCACCATACACGGTGTTGGCAAAGAACTGCTTCCCCCTCCTGAGGCGCCGGAGGGTTTGCCAGAACCTTTTTGAGGCCGACCGATAGTCATGCTCCATGGACTCTCCGAAGTCCTCCCAGTCCCGGGTTTTTGCCTCTGCAACAGCCCGGGCCGCGGCACGCTTGGCCTGCAGGTACTGGACAGCTGCCTCAGGAGTCCCACGAACCATCATTGCTCGATAGGACTCCTTCTTCAGCCTGACGGCATCCCTTACTGCCGGTGTCCACCACCGGGTTCGGGGACCAGCACCAGAGACCTTGCAACCACAGCTACGAGCCGCTTTATTGGCGATAGAGGAAGAGAACATGGTCCACTCGGACTCAATGTCCCCCTCCTCTGGGTCCTGGGAGAAGCTCTCCCGGAGGTGTAAGTTGAAAGTCCGTCTGACAGGGGGCTCAGCGAGACGTTCCCAGCAGACCCTCACTACACGCTTGGGTCTGCCAGGTCTGACCGGCTTCCTCCCCTGCCAGCGGATCCAACTCACGACCAGGTGATGATCGGTTGACAGCTCCGCCCCTCTCTTCACCCGAGTGTCCGAGACAAGCGGTCGAAGGTCAGATGATACGACAACAAAGTCGATCATTGACCTCCGGTCTAGGGTGTCCTGGTGCCACGTGCACTGGTGGACACCCTTGTGCTCGAACATGGTGTTCGTGATGGACAGACCGTGACTGGCACAGAAGTCCAACAACTGAACACCGCTTGGGTTCAGATCAGGGGGGCCGTTCTTCCCGATCACCCCTCTCCAAGTGTCACTGGCATTTCCCACATGGGCGTTGAAGTCCCCCAGGAGAATAACAGAGTCCCCGGGCGGTGCACTGACCAGTACCCCTCCCAAGGACTCCAAGAAGGCCGGTACTCGGCACTGCCGTTAGGCCCATAGGCCGTCACAATGAGAGACTTGTCCCCCACCCGGAGGCGGAGGGACGCGACCCTCTCATTCACCGGGGAGAACTCCAACACGTGGCGGCTGAGATGGGGGGCAATGAGTATGGCCACCTCAGCTCGCCGCCTCTCCCCGCGGGAAACTCCAGAAGCTGACTGACAAGTATGAGATGATGATGCAATCATCCCCATCTGAGAAGTCATAGAGGACTTCTCAGAGTTGTCTGCAATTGCCAACAGCAATTGTTCTGCTCTTGATAATGAAAGTGTGCCTGTAATGATAATTTTAAAAACCAACATCAAAATCTACAGTATATCAGTGACACATCATAGCTTGGCTATCATGTGCTAGCTATAGCCTAGCTATAATGTTTATGATTAAGCATTTAGCAACACTTCACAATACTTAGCATATACCACTTAGTACTTAAATATACTATTTACAACTGTAAACCACATAACTGAGCAAATGTGTGATTCAAAATAACTATTTACAACTGTAACTTCATCTAAATCTTCCACACGGTTAGCTAAACAGATAGCGGTACATAGTCCTAGCGTCCTCAAACGAGTGCTTCACTTTTACTGACATCCTAGCCTGCTACTACAATCAAAATTTTTCAAATTTCAAACTCCATATGAAGCTAGAGACATTATTGTGCATAAATAAATTGATTTCATTCATAAAATGTTGATAGAATTTTTACCTGGGGCATTTTTCTTCTGTAAACTCTTGTAGAAGTGTTTTGCTGATATTCCCGCCATTTCTTTCCTACTGCCTTAAGTGTAATTCTATCATATCACCACAAGATGGCGCGGGCAGTGTCCCTAAATGTGGCCATCAGGTCAAGGATGTAAAAAATTGAGTATCATTGTGCCAAGAGGCAAAAATGTAATGTCCTCGTATGAGGTCGCAGGGTCTCAGGAGGTTAAAAACAAGACATCAAAGGACAGCGATGGTATTGACATGAGACTGATAAAGATGACTATAGATTGTATTCTCAAACCATTGCATTATATTTTTAATTTATCCTTTAAAATGGGAATATTTCCAGAACAAATGAAACTGGCTAAAGTCATTCCTCTTTATAAAGATGGAGATAGACATGACTTTAATAACTATAGGCCAGTGTCATTGCTTTCTCAATTTTCAAAATTATTAGAAAAAATATTTGTAAATAAACTGGACAGTTTTATAGAAACTAATAAATTACTTAATTTATTTATTTAGTATGGTTTTAGGTCCAATTGGTCAACAAATGTGGCTTTAACAAAAATTGTAGAGGAAATATCAACAGCAGTTGATTAAAAGAAATATACTATAGGAGTGTTTATTGATTTGAAAAAGGCATTTGACACTATAGATCATTCTATTCTAATATCTAAATTATATTCATATGGAATCAGAGGAGTAGTCTTGAATTGGTTAACCAGCTATTTAGAAAATAGGCAGCAATATACAGAATTTGGAGGTAAGAGATCCACATGCCTGAAAATCAAGTGTGGAGTTCCTCAAGGTTCGATTATCGGACCAAAACTTTTTATTTTATGTATAAATGACATTTGTGAAGTGTCAAAGGTATTACAGTTTGTGTTGTTTGCAGATGTCACCAAATTTTTCATTTCTGGAAATGATCTAAAAGACCTGGCTGAAAATATTGGAAATGAAATGGTAAAACTGAACATTTGGTTTGATGACAACAAATGATCTTTAAATATAGCGAAAACAAAGTTTATGGTGTTTGGTAAAAAAAGAAAAACTGGTCACTCTATCTATTAACAGCACAATTATTGAAAGAGTGAATGAAATAAAGTTCCTTGGTGTAGTGTTGGATGACAGTTTAACATGGAAACCACATATAATGTATGTGAAAAATAAAGTATCGAAAAGCGTATTTATTTTGAACAAATCTAAATACATGTTACCCGTCCACATATTGCAAATGTTATATTGTTCTATGATTTTGCCTTATTTTACTTACTGTGTAGAAGTGTGGGGTAACACTTATGAAAGCAGTATAAAATCGTTATCCTTACGACAGAAAAGAGCTGTCCGTATAATACACAGAGCTGCATTTCGAGAACATACAAACTCACTATTCATTAGGTCCAAATTGTTGAAATTTAAAAATATAATAGAATTACAGACATTATTAGTCATGTTTAAAGCTAGAAATGCAGCACTACCAGAAAATATACAATCACTGTTTACTGTTACGTCAGAAACGTCTGAAACATATCAAATGAGTTGTTGATTATAAGAAATCTAGTAAGCTGTAGGTAGACAACTTTTTCAAGGACTTTCCCCATAAATGGCAGATTTGAGATGGGACGATAGTTGTTAAGTACAGTGGCATCCAGCCTGCTCTTTTTTAGCAGGGGCCTGATGACTGCAGTTTTCAGGGCCTTTGGGAATATTCCAGAAGTGTTTTACACATCATTTAGTTTTACCCTAACGATGATGCAATATTAATCCTAATGCAAGATTACTATTGGAACAACACATAACCATATGAATGAAATATATATTCATACATATTCAATTTGTATTTAATCTGACACAAAAAAAATAAAGACCAGACCTGGAATTGAACCAGGTATCTTCCGCATGAGAGACAGTTATAAACCAAGTGCGCCACAGCAAAGTACACTTCTTCAGAATCTAAACCACATATAATACATGAAATTAAGTCTTTCAACAAATTATAAATTAAATTTATTATAACTCAAACTACATTTTTCAAACAACTTATGGCACTTCTGACATTCTCCATGAAGTGTTATGCCCAAGGACCCAACATCATCAAATGTCATTGGTAGTCACTGGGGATTTGAACTAGCAACCATCAGCACCGTAGACCTGTGCTTTTCCATCTGAGCCACTGGACCACTATCTCTAATACAGCTGCTTGTTGTCTTTTGTACAGGCTGCTTTCAACTGTATTTGTTTTACACGCTATTGTTACGGCCCGGCTCTAGGCCGTAACATGAAAAGATGGGGAAGAGACAACGGCCAACAATTAGAACCCCTACAGGGCCATTTATTGTAAACAATATATCAAACACAGAATATAATGATGGTGTGGTGGCTGCCGCATGGCCAAGATGGAGGTAAAGGGAAGAGGCGGGCGTCCAACAGGAAGCGGCTCTTTTATAGGGAGGAGCTGCTGGGCCTGCAGCTCCCCCGTGTGGTCCTCCTCTGTGCTCCACCTCCAATAGACAGACAACATTAGTGTGGGATGTCACATTCCCCCCCATAAAAGACAGGTTCCCCCAGGAATCCTGGCCAAGAACACAGCGGACCTCATCATCTTCCGTGGCCCCGGGACAGGGAAACCTCCACCGTGCCGTCCCGGCGTGGCTTAGCACGGTGGTCGACAGACATGGCCTCCATCCACCTTACATGGCACCTCAGCCGCCTAGACGGCCCCTGGACGAGGGCTCCTCCACCGTGCTGTCCCGGTGTGGCATCGCACGGTGGGTGATCAGGGTTCTTCCTCTGCCCGCATGATGTCTGTACCTTTGATACGCCACCTAGGAGAGGGATAGGAAGACAACCCTCCCTACAACCCTGGAGCACGCGACAGGGCATCAGCTACAACATTGTCCTTTCCCTTGATGTACCTAATCTCCAGTGAGTACGACTGCAGGAATAATGACCACCGGATCAGCCTGTGATTTGGGCTTTCAAGTGACGAGAGAAACAACAGCGGATTATGGTCAGTGTACACGATGATTAGACCACCCTCATTCAAGTAAACGTCAAAATGCTTTAATGCCATTATAAGAGCCAACGCTTCCTTTTCTATCACCAAATAATTTAGTTGATGTTTGTTGAATTTCTTTGAAAAGTAACTCACTGGCCTGTCCACCCCCAGATCATCAACCTGTGTCAGAACGGCTCCGGCCCCCACGTGACTGGCATCCACGTGTAACTGGAACAAACAACCAAGGCGAGGCGCCGCCAGGACCGGGGCAGCACAAAGGAGCTTTTTCACTTGCTCAAACGCCCTCTGACACTCCGGCGACCAGGAAAACTTGACCTCCTTCCGCAACAGGTCAGTCAGAGGAGCTACAACAGAAGAAAAATCACGGCAAAAACATCGGTAATAGCCTATAAGACCAAGGAACCGCATCAGCTCCTTCTTAGTCACCGGAACAGGAAACTGTTCCACAGCTTGCACTTTTGCAGCTACAGGTCGAACCTCCCCTTGGCCTACTACCCGACCTAAATAGGTCACAGTTGCTCTTGCAAACTCACATTTTGCAAGATTAACTGTGAGGCTTGCCCCCTCCAAACGAGAAAAGCTCCTTGATGCGCTCCACATGATCCTCCCATGTATCAGAGTACACCACCACATCATCGAGGTATACAGCACACCCAGACATATTGCCCAGCACTTGGTTCATCAGACGTTGAAACGTCGCTGGTGCGTTCCTAAGCCCAAATGGCATAACTGTATACGAATACAATCCTGTAGGAGTGACAAAAGCCGCCACTTCCTGAGCTCGCTTCGTCAATGGCACCTGCCAGTAACCCTTCAAAAGGTCAAACTTACTGACAAACTTGGCAGAACCCACTTGGTCAACACAGTCATCCATCCTAGGGAGAGGAAACAAATCAGGTTTGGTGACATTATTTACTTTTCGGAAATCAGCAAAACCTTGAAGTGTTGTCTGACTTTGGCACAAGAATACAGTGAGCTGCCCAGCTAGAGTTGAGACCTCTAAATCCAAAAGTTTACATCTTTCATGATTAACTCTATAGAACCGTTGTCTAATTGGCTTTGAATCACCGACATCTATATCATGTTCAATTAAATGTGTCCGCGAAGGTGTATCTGCAAACAAACTTGGATAACTCTGAATGGCAAAAATAAGCTGCTCAGCTCGATCTCCTGGTAAATGTGACACCAAACAGCCCAAGTTCCTCAAGGTCTCAGAATTCTTAAGACGGCCTTGCAAAATCGCAGAGTCCAATGCACCCACTTCATTGTCCTCCACAGAAATATCCGAAGTTAATACCACTGTATCAACCGTACATACCGGATTAGCCTGGCACTGAAAATACGGTTTCAACAAGTTTGCATGACACAACCGTGTCTTTTTCCTACGCTCCGGCATCGAGATCAAATAGTTCTGTTCAGATGTTTGACTAAGAACAGTATACGGTCCAGAATATTTTGCCTGGAAAGGAGATGTTATAATAGGACACAAGGCCATCACCTGATCCCCAGGCAAAAACGAGCGCATCTCAGACCGCCGGTCAAAAAGTGATTTCATTTTTGCTTGGGTTATGCCCAGCTTCTCTTTAGCCAATTCCCGTGCCGCATAAAGGCGTTGCCTAAACCCATTAACATAATCTAATAGTTTAGTAGGTGGTTCAGACTCCCTAAACTCATCAGCAACCACAGCCAATGGACCCCTAACTTTATGTGCAAACACCAGCTCATTTGGACTAAACCCGGTACTTTCTTGAGTGACCTCCCTTGCAGCCAACATTAACCATGGTAGACCCTCCTCCCAGTCTCGTCCTAACTCCATACAGTAAGCACGCAAGAGGGACTTAAGCGTCTGGTGGAAGCGTTCCAATGCTCCCTGACTTTCCGCATGATACGCAGTTGCTTGGGAGTGCTTAACCCGAAGTTGATTCAAGACCTGAGAAAACAAATGAGAGGTGAAGTTGGTGCATTGATCTGACTGAATGACTTTTGGTATCCCAAAAACAGAGATAAACTGTGACAGTGCCCGCACCACAGATTTGGCTGTAAGAGAACGCAAAGGATATGCAGCAGGATAGCGCGTGGTTTGACACAGTACTGTAAGCAAATAACTAAATCCAGCCTTTGATCTAGGCAAAGGACCCACACAATCAATAATCAAGTGCTGAAAAGGCTCTGACACAGTCCCTATCGGATTTAAAGGCACCGGCTTTAAAGTCTGATTAGGCTTGGATGTAAGTTGACAAACGAGACACGTCTTAATATAACCCGAAACATCCCTCTTCATACGTGGCCAGAAAAACTGCCTCAGAACACGATCATACGTCTTACGAACTCCGGAGTGCCCAGACTGATCGTGTGCCACCTTCAAGATCTCTGTGCGAAACTTAACTGGTACTACAATCTGAAAAACAGGTTCACCCACAAGACCCCTATGTGGCACCCATTTTCTTACCAACAACGAATCTTGACAGAAGTACCCCCCAGCACAGTCCGCCATCTCCCTCTCTGGCTGAACTTGATCAAATAGAGTTTTTAGTGACTCGTCCTCTCGCTGCTCCGCCACCAGCTCACTATGAGACAAACGCACAGGAAAATCCAACAAAGGAAGTGCAATAATTCTGTCACTTTTGTCCCTGCCAGACTCTGCTCGTGACATAGCACGCGTTACTGCACAGGCTGTAACCACCTCTGAAAATGTTGGGCTACTCTCATCAACCCCAGTATGCAATGCCCCAGGCTGCAGTGTCTCCCGCACCCCCTGAGACACCACATCAGACCACATACGTGCCCCTGTCAAATCGTTTCCCAAAATCACAGAGATTCCTTCCATTGGCAATGCAGGGCGGACTGCTAGCACTGCTTGGCCACAGAACAGTTCACACTCCAAGAACACCTTGTGTAAAGGCACAAAGAACACATTTAATCCTATTCCCCGAACGGGAACACAATTACCCGTCTCAGACACCTCAGACAAAGGCAATACATCCGCTTTAATGAATGAGTCAAATGCCCCAGTGTCCCTTAATATTTTTATACATACTTTCTCCTTACTGCCAACCATAGACACGAGACCCTCTCGAATGAATGGGAGATAGGAGGAGTCGACGACCTGCCTCGCATTCACTGCCTTACCGTCTGGTGCAGCCAAACCAACGCCACTCGGACCTGCCTGACCATTCCACCCCTTTGCCTTCAACATAAAACAGTCTGCTTTAACATGCCCTCGTTTGTGACAATGATTACAGACTCTATTCTCAAAGCTCTGATTCTTGGCACCAAGCTGGCGCCCACCATGGAAGTAACAGGGCCCGTCTCTTTGGCTTCCCTGTTCGCAGTTCCCACTGTACTCACGGTGCGTCAACACATATTCATCCGCCAATACAGCTGCAGCCGCAACTGTAACAGACTTTTGCTCATTAATGTATGTTGAAATGCGTTCAGGCAAACAATTCTTAAACTCTTCAATTATCATCAGCTCCCGCAGCCGCTCAAATGTCCTCACACCCAGCGCACTACACCACCGATCAAACAATGCCACCTTTTCACGACAAAATTCCACATAATTGTGACCCTCAGCTTTTTTATAATGTCTGAATTTCTGTCTATATGCCTCCGGGACAAGCTCATATGCCCTTAACACTGCCTTTTTAACCTCCTCATAGTCCCCACTTGCTTGAGGAGACAAAGCTGCACATGCTTCTTGAGCCCGTCCAACAAACACACACTGCAACAGCAAGTGCCACACTTCCTTGGGCCAACTCAAGGTAGTAGCCACCCGCTCAAACAACACAAAATACATGTCCACATCCTTCTCTGTAAACTGCGGAATCAGACGAATGCATTTGCTCACATCAAACCCCGGAGTTGAACTTTGACCTCTGATTGGACTAGATAAACGAGCCAACTCCCGTCTAGAAACTTCTTCGATCTCCAATCTACGCAACTCAAAATTCTGTTGAAGCTCTTGTTCCTTTAACTCCAACCGCTTCATCTCCAGCTGTAACTCCATTTCACGCACTTCTGGGTCGGATGCCACCACTCCAGCCCCAGGTGTAACCGACTCCACAGGTGCAAGGATCCCCCTCTCAACTAATTTATCAATCAACGCAGACTTAAGCTTCTGCTTCTTGTCCTGCTTAGAGACCTGTACTCCGTACTGAGCAGCCACCTTCCACAAATTCTCCTTAGTACACCCATCAAGCATATCCACAGTGGGATTAGCCACAAAATCCTCCAGCTGAAATTCCATCTCTGGCCCGAAAAAAACAAAACATATAAATATATACATACAAAAAACAAATGTTGCACGCAAAACTACTCGCTTGAACGAGAAAAGATACGTGCATTAAGCCTCAAGCAGCCACCATGAAGAAAACCTGTTCTACAACTGGAAAAAAACACGGTTGTAAGTCTATATTGCTGTCCCTTCTCCCAGAACTATGTTTCACAACACATACACTCAAATACACAGAGACAGGGTTAAAGCCACGACTAAATGAAACCAGTGAACCAACCAGACAAGTGCACACCCCCCCCCCCCCCCCCAAAAAAAACAGAGCCAACCTGACCCTCCGAAGTCCTCCGCCCTAACCATTCACAAACTACCCTGCTTCACCTAGTTTTCTTGCAGTCCCGTACGGCGGGTATTTATGCGCTGCGGTTGAGTCTAACCACCCAACCTCTAGCCCAATGAGTTAGAAAGGCACCATGAACTGGCACCCCCACAGCTCATGGATGCGCTCCCAAACTGAAGTTTGAAAACCGCGTTCACTGCAGTCCCTGACAC